GTAGGGAAATCTGGGACATTCATCTGGGACACCCAAGATACTGCACCCCCCACGTTCTCCCCCGTGATCTCAAGTCAGCAGGGGCAGGGTGGCATGCTGGGTAGGCAGAAGTGCCTGCCCGCCTACCTGTTTGCAAGGCATTTCGTGCTGTTCAAACTTCTGGCCAGACTATGCCCCACATCCTACATTTCCAGGATCCCCATTATAATTCTCAACTGTCTGACCTCTGAAATTTGGGACTGTCCCAGCTAAACCAGGACAGATGGTCACCCTTTGACAGCTATTTCCCCTCCATCATTTGTATGCAGTTAATATAATTGTACTGTGGGTACAAAATAGACTATGAGACTGAAAAGTGGGTTGCCTTTAAGGAATTAATGCAGTCTACTATTATGCATATAACCAGCATTTGTTATAATGAAAGCAACAGGCAACAAATTGGGATGGTATTGTGTTATGCAGTTAAGCAAGTCATGCTAGGAAATTAAGTTCAGCAAACTTGCCTGATAAATCAATACTCCAGTGTGCAGCAAAATGAAGCAACTTGAATTACAGATGGAGAATATAAAACCAAATAGTAAGAAAATGGTAACTTGATAGATTAATATACATACAGGAACAGAGGAATTGAGAGAAACATTGTTCAGGGAAGGGGAAAATAGATGTAGAGGCAGCAAGGAAGCATTTGATGTTAATAATGTGATAATGGGTAAAGAAGCATGAAGAAGTTGCTTGGATAAAACAATTTGATTGGGTCAAATTCACTTTCAGGAAAGTAACTTTAGGGGTTCTATTGGGATAGCGCTGGGAGTCTGCCGTACACCCCTGGGTTTAGATTTGAAGATGGTAAAGGTATCTGTAATGTTAGTAGACAGATGTTACTGGGAATTGTCGTTATGGGAGCCTTACCTTCCCAGATATAAATTGGGGAGCAAATAGTATTACTAATAGGTAGGACCAGATATTCCTGGATATATTAGTTGAACAACTTCTTCACCAAGTACTTAGTAAACCAAATGAGATGTTGTTGTTTTAGTCTTGATTTTGCTAAGGTAGAGGGGACTTTAAAGAAGAGCTAGTCATAGAAAAGTGCAGGCAGCCTGGTTCCTGCCATTGTTGTATGCAACACATCTAGTGTGGTGCCCTTCTGCACTGCATGCAGATCAGGCACCCTCCCACTCTGCCCCACTCCTACTACACTGCCCTACCCCCAGAAGTGGCGGCAGAAAGTAGAAGCTGGAGGAAGGCAGGAGGAGTCCAAAGAATCTGGTTGCCATGGAAATCCTTGGCTCTGTGTCTTCCTCAGCATGAGTGGATTCAAACGCAGATGTCCCACCAGCCTATAGGTTAATCTGGGGCACTCCCATCCTGCCTGTTGAACGGGCCTATTGTGCAGCAAAAACAGGATCAAAGACTTGGAACAGAGCAAGCAAGATTGATAGATTGTAAGGCCGGAAGGAATCTCGGAAGATCATTGGGTCCAGCCCCCTGCAGTAAGCAGAAAAGATAACTTGGGGCCAGGAGACCTCAGCAAGGTGACTGTCTAGTCTCCTTTTGAAGATTTCCAGGGTAGGCAATTGCAACACCTTTGGAGGGAGCTTATTCCACAGTCTGGACACTAGGGGTGTGCAAAATGGGCAGTATTTGATTCTGATTCGTCCTGAATCGGGGACAGTGATTCAACTTGTTGATTTGGATCACTGTCCCTGATTTGATTCGGCTGAATCTGACTGAAGAGTTGATACTGATTTGGAGAATCAGCGATTTGGCCATAGACACAGCTTTAAATGTTTTTTTTCTACATACCTCGAGGTACCGGGTGTGGCTCATGAATGCTGTGATGATGGGGCAGGTTGAGCATCCCACAGGAGTGCGGGGGCCCCCCCTGCGTACTCGGCAGTGAACCTGGAAGTGGACCAGAAGTACTTCTGGGTCTGCTGCCGAGCACACAGGTGGGCCCCCTCTGGCTCAGCAATCAGCTGTGGGGGTCCCCAGGTGCCCCCCCAGACCCAAGGAGTCACCAGTCACCAAGTCAGGAGGGTTGTGGAGGGCCCCCCAACATGCTTCCTGGCAAACACGGAAGTGGCCTGGAAGTGTTTCTGGTCCACTTCCGGATCTGCTGCCAAGCGTGCTGGGGACCCCCCCCCCCGTGCTCCTGTGGGATGCTCCATCCGTCTCACCATTTTAGCATTCGTGAGCCACCTGGTACCTTGAGGTACATAGAAAAAACATTTAAAGCTGTGTCTATGTCCAAATCGTTGCATCTTTCTGCTCTGAATCAATTCAGAGGGTTCCAATTCGATGTGGAGAGGTTGAAGGGTCTCCTGATGCAATTTGGATTTGGAGATTCAGCCACCGAATCAGGTCAAATCTCCGCTGAATCGAATCAGCAATCGAAGCTTCGCACAGCCCAACTGTACACCCTAACTGTGAAGAAGTTTTTCCTAATGTTGAGCTCAAATTGATCTTCCAGGAGTTTGTGGCCATTACTTCTGGTTTTTCCCTTGGGTGCTGTGGTGAACAGTTGCTCACTGAGCCCTTGATGTACTCTTAGTGTAGTGGTAAGCTGCTACCAGGTCCCCTCTGAGCCTTCTTTTCCTCAGGCTGAAGAGTCCCAGGTCCCTCAGCCTTTCCTCATGTGGCTTGCCATGTAAGACTGATCATACGGGTGGCTCTTTGAACTCTATCAAGCTTGTCCATGTCCTTGTTAAAGTGTGATGCCTAGAACTGGTCGCAGTATTCCAGCTGCGGTTTCACCTGCACTGAATAGAGCGGTAAAATCACCTCCTTGGTTTTGCTGGCGATGGATCGATTGATGCATGCCAGAGTATTATTTGCCCTACTGGCTGCAGCATTGCACTGTCGGCTTAAATTCATACTGTGGTCTATTATTACCCCTAGATCCCCTTAATTCATAGTGTTGGTCAGTTCGGTGCCACCAAGCCTGTAGGTGTGTTGCAGGTTGCTTGTCCTGAGATGGAGCACTTTACATTTCTCAACTTTGAACTTCATCAGATGGCACATGACTCTGTAGCCCAGTAGCTGGGGGAACCAGCTAGGAGAAAGAGCCAGGTGACAGTAGCCTGTCTCCTCGAGTTGGGTTTTCAAACTTGGATTTAAGAAAAATTCTTTTTGGCACCTACCTTCAAATGTGGTTCTGGGCTCCGGATCCTGAGTGAATGGAGGTGTTCTTCTTGAAGCTCTCATTCAGGCAGTTAAGCTTCAGAGAAGGGCAGGAGTTCAGATGCACCTTATCATTTTCTATTGGCTAGCTCTAGGCAATTTTCTGCTGAACGTACAGGATGCCTGTAGACATGCAGGGATGCTGCTCTGATGTGCTGTAACTACAGGGCATCAGAGGAGACTCAATTAAGTGAGATTGCTGGAGCATGCTAATTAGTGTGCTCCAGCAACCTCCATGTCTCTGTATCATCATCCCCATGCTTCGAAATGGTGGCCAGAGTGCTTTAACTAAAGCTTGTCAAATGAGCTTTAGTTAAAGTGACCCTGCTGCTATTTTGAAGTGCAGGAACATGAGACACTGGGGGCACTTTAATTAGAGCAGCTCTTGGAGTCACTCTAATTAAAGTGCCTCCTGTTCCACCCCCAGCCCTGAAGCACATGTGAAGACACCCATGGATTATACGATTGCCCTTTTGAGGTGTGCACCTCTTCACATGATCTTCATAGGGAGCTAAGGCACTTAATACTAGATTTTGGATACCACTTTGGTACCTTGGTGCCTAAAATGTACACACTGCAATGCTTAATTTAGGATCATAGGAAAGCAGGAAAGATTCTACCACCTCCTTTAGGTAGCTTGTTCCAATACTTCACTACCTGTATGGTCAAAGTTCTTTCTGATCTCAAACGAACTTTCTCTGCTGTAGTTTGCAGCCCTTGCTCCTAGTTCTCTCCCCTACAGCCAAAGAGAAAAAGCCATAGTCCCAAACTTTTAAGGACTCAAGTTGCTCAAGTTGTTTATTGGACTTGGCTATTAGTGTGCTTATGCTAAGGAGAGTAGAGGACAATCTTTATTTCAGAATTCTGAGAACAGTGCCATGTGAAATGGTAGATTCAGTAGCAAGTACATTTATTAATCTGTCAAGGTACCATCTGACTGAAGACTGACAAAAAGATATTTAAAAAGGGGAGGCAGTGATCTGAGCAACTAAGTTCCTTTTAGTTTGATATCAACTGTATGCAAGGCTGTTTTCCTTTAAAATGTATAAGTTAGACATGCACATAAAAGTGTGATAAACTGTTAAATGAATTTACCAAGGACAGATTGTGCAAAGATAACTCAATATACATCTTTGATAAACTACTATTAGGTGGATACATTATTGTGTTCAAAGAGCAGCCATCAATAAGAGGAGGCATCAAGTGGAGTTCCCCAGGGGACTGCCCTTGATCTAGCACTGTTTAGTGTCTTCATTAACAATTTGGAGGATGGGATGGACTGCATGCTAAGCAGGTTTGCAGAGGACACCAAGGTGGGTGGTGTTGCAGACTCCCCGGAGGGTAGGATTAGGATTCAGAATGACCTTAAGGGACTGGAGAAAATGTTTGAAATTAATTTAATAATATTCAAGACAGACAAGTGAAGAGCACTGCACTTAGGACAGAACAGTTTCATGCATGCATGCAGGCTGCTTAGGTTGCAAGACTGCAGAAAAGGACATGGGAGCTACAAGGGAATGCAAGCTGAATATGGGCCAATGGTATACTTTTGTTGTAAAAAGACAGACAGCAGCATCCTGGATTGTATTAATAGAATAGTCACTAGTAAGTCACCTTATTAAGAGGCAACCCCTGTAGGAAGAAAGGGCAGTAAGCTAAGCAGTAGCTCTGGGATAAGCAGCTCAGGTATGGGACTGACTTGAATGAGGCTTCTCTATATTAATGGATTAGGGTGGCCGATTCATGCTCGAGTGGTGTGTGCATGCGTACACATGCATCCCCTTCCCCCTATTTTCACCTTTTCTTCCATCCTCTGGAAGTGACTGACCTTAACAAAGTTCAGGTTTCAAGGACAGCTGTGATACCCCCTGGTGGCCACTTAACCTAACCTAGCTCCAGCTCTAGGGTTTCCTTCCCTTCCCACTTACCTGCTACACCTTGATGTATTTGATTGATTGAAAGAGAGGCTGCCTAAGGGTCCTAGAGCAAGCCTCAGTTCTTCTGGCCATCAGCAGGTCCCTCCTGGATCCCACTGGTCTCAGTTCTGCCCCTCTCAGGCTAAGTGAGCCTTCCTGACCCTTCCATGTCCCCAGGATACTTGTAGCCTTAAGGGCTATTCATGGTTTCCAGCCTACCCTACAGCCATGTGCATGCCTTGCAGATGCTATGGTATAATTCCTCCTTTGTTGGGCCCTGATCTTCTCAAGTTTTGCCCCTTTTCTTTAGCTGTGCCTTCTAGCCCAGGCTCACTATGCTGGACCTGGCTTCTGGGCACCTGCTCATATCTCAGTTACTTAAGCCCTGGGCCCCTGGTCCTGTCTCTGTCCTGCTTTGGGCACTGAGCTTATTTTGGTTCAGACTGGGCCCCCTGATCCTGACTCCATCCCTGCTCCGCACCAATCCTGCTTTGGCTCCATCTGGGATCCCTGGCTATGTCTCTGCCCTGCTCTGGGAAGTGAGTCTGTTTTGGCTCCGTCTGGGCCCCCACCCCAGTCTTTGGCTCCCTGTGGGCCCCCTAACCATGTTTCAGCCCCTTCTTTTGGCACTGGGCTCTCTAGCCCCATCTCTGCCCTGCTCTGGGCACTGCTGGGAGCACTTCTCACCCTTAATAGTCCCAAACACAAACTACTGGTATGAACTGTAACAAAGAAATAAGCACCCTGGCTATAATACAGACTAAACCTGCACCTAGTCCCAAACACTATCAGAGGCTTACTACCAGAGCAACCATAACTTCCCCTACCCTGGGTTATATTCTGCCTTACTTGCATCCTTAGGGGGAATTCCAGAAATCAACAAAGCTTCTCCCTACAGCCAGGAGTTTTTTACTCTGCAATATGCTGAGCCAACCAGCGTGATCTGATTTATATGCTGCCTATGTCCTGCCCCTTCCTATCAGGCAGTGCTCCAGCTGAGCTTGGATTTCTCATTAGGGCCTGAAGGCTGGTTGCTATGGCAGCTTATGGCTGCTGCTGGAGAAGCTTCCCTGCTGCACAAACTAGGTTCTGCCCTACTGGCCTATTTCCCTTGCAGCCAGCTCCCTGCAGGCCTCTAAAGGGCATCACCCTACCTAGACAGCAGTGTTTATTTGCTGCCTTCCTTCTTGTGGCTAGCCCTGCTCAGCTGTCTAGGTTCCTATCTCTGTGCCATTTCTGCCAGCTCTCTATGTTCCTATCTCTGCCATTTCTCTCTTTAAAGTAAAAGGAGCCTGAGGCTCCCTGTTAAACTGAACAACAGGGCTTGCTCTGGGTGGGGCTGGTTTAGCTAATTGAGGGGTGAAGTTAGCAGGACCACTTAATCTGTACAAGTGTAAGCTGCTCTCTGCCCCAGAGGAGAAGACTCAAAGATTGGGTAGTGGGTCTTAGGGCTGTCAAATGATTAAAAGATTTAACTGCAACTAGTTGTGCGATTAAAAAAAAATAGTCACAATTAATCATGTTTTTAATCACATGGTTAAAAACTCAAAATTATATGCAGAAACTCAAAATTATGCAGATACTTTGTAAGTGTGAGAGGGGGAGATGGGTCTAGCTTGGTCTCCCTCTAAATTCTTCTGCCATGACTTGGATCAAAAAGAAGATAAGTTCAGTGTTAGTTTTGGAGTGAGAAAACACCACATACCACCCAGGTGATGAGCTCATGTAGTGCAAGTTTTATCCCTTAGCAGGAGGTTACAGAGTTGCACTTGCCTCGCTAATTACCTCATTAGCAAGGGAACATTGACATAGCTGATAAGGGATCCCGAATATCCCGGATATTTTAGGCTACTGTGTATGAACTGAGCCTTCTCTGCTAATTGATTCATTAGCGGGGCATGTTCTCTGCGCCTCCTCTGGTCCTGGACTGGGAGCTGCTTCTAGTGCTCCCTCTGTATTGAATGGTAGACCCAGCTTAGTTTGTTGCCATCCTGTTGGGGCGGATTGCGATCCCGGAATCCTCCGGGGTTGCGGATCAGGATCAGGATCAGGATCTCTCTCTCTCGGATTTTCTTGAGTTTTGCATTGCCTTAAGAAACTCCATTTTGTATTGCTCTGTAACTTGACATAAGTGTTTGACCTTTGTATGCTGTATGTGTGAGAGAATAGGTGAGAGTGTCTGTGGAAAAGGAAAACATCAGCTGGCGACTGGCTGAAGAATGCAGACAGCTAAAAGAACAAAAAAGAATAATCTGCCCCAGAACAGTGAGAGAACTGTGACAATCAGCCTTCAAGAAAGAACACTGTGATAACACAGCAAAAGCCCAGAGGACTGGGTGGAGGAGGGCTATAAAAGGGCCAAGGCTCTAAAAGATGGGGCGAGATGTATTGATTTTGGGTCTTGTTCTGCATGTCATCCTGGAGCATCGGTTCATCTGACAAGAGGGACCGGCAGGAGCCCGGCTCCTACTTGTGATCAACTTGGCTGGCCACTAAGTTGATCCAATTACTGATAAGGCTGGTAATGTATACCAGTGCAGAACAGAAATTGGGGTATGAATATGTGTGTGTTAAGTGCTTAATCAGTAAACTCAGCATCATGTCTATTCCTCATTCGTGATTTGAGCAATTGGCAATTTGCATAAGATTTAAGTGGTGGAGAATGCAGAAGGGGGATATAGAGGAAGCTCTGTGTTTATTGTTCCTCTGGTGTGCACCCTTAGGGTTGTAGAATTCCCAGAGCCTACAGGAGAAGTTAGATTCTCGCCGAATAGGAGTTTCAGAGATGTTTTGTTAGGAGAAAGAAGGAACGAGTTATAAACAAGTTTATGGATGTCTCTTGGCTGTAGATTTGCCGAGAAACTAGGGAGGGAGTTTAGGATCTCCACTCCTACCACTAATCCTTGGCTGTAGCTGTCCCTGAGGGTTAGAAGGGGAAATTTAGGTGTTGTGCAGTTGGTGACCACAGATTTTAAGATATATTGTGTGACTTAAGGCAAGTGGACTTTAACACGTGGAAACAGAGGTGGTATCTGAATAGAAGGTTGTAGGAAGTAAAGGAATTTATTAATTAACATCTAGAGAAACAGGTTAAGCAGTTGAAAAATCCTTAGTGTCAGCTGTCTGTTGAAGCTTTGTAGATGGCTGTTATGCAAAAGACAAAAGCAAAGACTTGAGGGTCCCTGTCCCCATTCCCTGGGGAGGGTCCCCAAGGCCACCATGGACAGAGGGCATACCAGCAGCCCATTTCATGTACCCCACTGGAGGGGGGCTGTGGGCCTTGGAATCCCACCTCCAGACTGATGACACCTAAGAGAGAGCCTCATAAGTAAAGATTGCATCCCAGCCAGATGTACCTTGACTCTGATGACAGCCATAGAATTGGTAGATATAGAATTGTTTGATTGTTTGTATTGTTGCTTTTTGTTATCACTCTGTATCAATAAGCTCGCCTATTATCAACTGGCAGGTGTTGTGGTCGGTCAGAGGGTTGTGCCCACCCGAAACAAAGGTACAGGTGCTGGGTCCAAATTCAGTCCAACAGTTGGCCACTCCACCAGGACACAAGGGCAGTAACCTGACTGATCAGGGAATTTATTGGTACAGAGTGACCCTTTCTAGAGGGGTTAGCTAAGACTTGTAGTAAGGTAGAGTTGTATGGTAATTGTGACTAGGGTTGTAAATTTTGTGCAGGAGAGGTGGTTTGTTACTGCTGATCAGGAGACTGCCTAGGTCAGGCAGAGTAGTGGACATTGTTACATACTGTGGTCCGCTTGGGATTAAGAAAGAACCTCCTGTTGTATTTGCAATAAGAAGCTAGAAAGCAGAGAAAGTAATCTCTCTTTTGGAAAGGCTGTGTTAATGAATAGGGACAGGGTCTTTTGACACTAGGGTCCTTGGGAAGGGTTACAGTCTTTTGTGGATGGTTACAAAAGCAGTTTTGTGTGTTTTCTGTGGAGTCTGCAAGATGTAGGTTACAAGTACAGGTTATGGCAAGGCAGAGTGTTATCCAGGTGGTGCAGCTTCAGAGAGATCAGAGACAGATTCTCTGGAATCCTGTGTGCACGGGAGAACAGAGGGCAGCAGGTGGCACAGAAAGAGACAAGGTATATTACTGGACATCTGTTCAGGCAGTGGCAAAGAACTTGTGATTGGAAAGTGAGGGAGAAACTTGGTTCTTCCTCCGCCTCTCCAGGAACAGTGAAGAGCCTAGAAGAGAGACAAATTGTCATAGGAGTGTAACATCTTGTTTTGGGAAACATCAGGGTACAGCTGTGGAAACTGTAAGTTGTGTGTTCTGGAGCCCAGGAAAGGGGGGGGGTTGCAGGGGGGTCTGGAACCTGGGGAGGGGGGAACCCCCATATTCCCTGGCAGATTGTGGGTCAGGAGTGAGGGACAGGGGCAGGATATGGGCATATTACTGCTGTTGTCATAATCATTACCTCTCCCCCCTCCCCGGCGCAATAGGAGTCTTCTTTTTTTGAAACCAGAAATATGGTAACCCTACAGGAACACAGCCTGATGGTATAGCCCAGAAGTAAGCCCAGATTGAGGCCCTCATGGTGAGGGAGGGAGTGCGGCAGGGGCTAGATTCATAGATTCATAGATGTTAGGGTTGGAAGGGACCTCAATAGATCATCGAGTCCGACCCCCTGCATAAGCAGGAAA